TGTGTGTTTATATATTTTTATATTAAAAAAGTTTTGGAGGTGCCTGGGTGGCTCAGTTGGTTAAGCATCTGACTCTTGATTTCAGCTCAGGTCATGATCTCAGGGTCATGAGATCAAGCCCTGTGTCAAGCTTTGCACTGGGCATGGAGCCTGCCTAAGATTCTCTCTCTCCCTTTCCCTCTCCCCCCACCCACCACTCTCTCTCTTTAAAAAAAAAAAGTTTGCTAAATATTGATAGATATAACCTACTTAAAAGTTCTTGGGAGTCCTCAATAATTTTTAAGGGTGTAAAGGGCTCCTGAGACCAAAATGTTGAGAACCATAGAACTAGGTCATGTCCCCACTTACTAAGGCAAGTTAACCTGACTAGTTAGGCCTCAGTCATGTACTCATCCAGAGCATGAGGATCATCTGAGCCTACCAAATGGCTAAGACCAAGGGAGGATGGATCTAGGTACCATATATACGGGTAGTGCCTTGATAGATCAGCAGTTAGTTCTTCAACTCTTCTTACAGACTCCTATCTCCACCATTACTACAGATTTTTTTCTTTTCTGAGGGCTCTAATTTATACCTTTAATACCACTGACATTGTCTTCTGTTAATATTCAGAAGATAGAGAAGCACTTCCCAGTGTGTCATGACAATTTACAGAAGATCACCACTTACTTATATGTCTGCTTATCTGATAAAAGAAGGAAGCAAGGAGGGAAAATTTTGATTTCTAAAGAAAGCACTGATTTTCCTCCCTCCTTAATTCAAAGAAAGGGTAGACCATAGGGAGGAGGACAGTAATTGATAGAAAAGGAAGGAATTATTACGTAAGAAAAAGGAGAGTGAGATTTGTTAAATAGAAAAGTAGCATTAAGTGCCTAGAAGTTATTTGATTTTTTAAAGGGGCTCTGTCTACAAGTCCTTCAGGTTTTAGGATTCAGTATACACAAGTCAAGAAAAGATAGTCCCAGAGTGCCTGGGTGGCTCAGTCGGTTAAGCGCCTGCCTTCGGCTCAGGTCATGATCTCGGGGTCCTGGGATCAAGCTCAGCGGGAGTCTGCTTCTCCCTCTCCCTCTGTCCCTCCCCACTGCTTGTATGCACTCCCTCTCTCTCAAATAAATAAAATTAATAAAAAAGATATTCCCAAGTTTGAAAACTGACGTGGATTGAGTTTAAGTTTTGAACTTCTAAAAAAATCGAAAACATCATCCTTTTCCTAAGTTATTATTAATTGGTTTCCATGTAATCAAACATAGCTTAAGGTCCGGCTACCCTAGGAAAATATATCTGTCTCTATAAAAGCAATATACAAAAGGAAAATTATTTTTAAAAAGGAAAGAAAATTATTTTGTTAGCCTAAGTAACCTCATTTTGTCCTAGGTTGACCAATAATTGGAGGAAAAATGGTTTGTAAGAATATTTATACAGTGTTTTAGCTTAAAGTGAATCTTAAATAAAGGTTTGAGATGTTAAGAAGCATAAATGAATATGTGAAAGAAGCAGAGATGATGGATTTTTCAGGACCACTCATTTTACCATGTGATTATTACATTTCATATTTATCTGCCTGTATATCTCCTGCTGTGGGATTGATTGGTTGCAGAGCAAGTATCCCTTTCCAACATGGAACCTTGTTCTCTTCACATTTCCTAATATCTGATGATTAAAATCAGAACGGATGAAGCAATAGGGACTTTGAATTGTGAGCAATGCAGGCTCCTCCTAGGGGGCCAGTGGGGCTGTTAGAAATTTGCCTTGGCCTGGGAAAGATTGCAGAAGCCTCTGCCTATAAAGAAGACACCATCTAAAGTGGCACACAGTTCACATAAGAAATACTGAAGCTGGATTTTCTGCCTGGATCTAAAAGCATAAGGCAATATTCTTGCATATTGTCACTTGTCTCTTTGGTGATTGCAATTCTAGACTAAAGATGAAAGTATCAATCAAGCTGTTGTTGGCCTTATTTCATTTAGGAAAGCAGTATAACAGACATTACTAATCACTTCGTGGTCATGGCAAAAAGATAACTTTTGGAAGTGAAATGTTAGCAAATATTCCCTGAATAGTTCGGAAGTCAAGGTAAAATAAATAAGAGTAGCTACAAAAATAGTACTACCCAACATTATGGCTTATATTGTAATTGTATTGCTAAAGGGACAAAGTTTTCCTCAGTTGAGGTTAAAACTGAAAAGTATCTCCCAAGTACAGTCAAGGATCAGAGGTTTTATTCTCAGAGAAACATAATTGGAATATTACGAGTGTACATAAAACTGTAATAATGTTTCAATTCCACCAATACTTTCTTAGTGCTAATTCAGCTTCCCTAATAATTTGATTCTGAAATGGGAATGGCCTACATATAGACATATTCCAACCACCTTGGAAGGTATAGCCATCTGTGTAATTTAAATTAATTTGCTTTATCAGTGATTCTCTTGGGAGTTTGAGCAGCTAGAATGAGTCTCTGATCTGTTGGGTAAGTTGACCAAATAAATTTGTACCCACAAAGCTGAGATCCATATCCTGGATTTATCAAAATGCAGATACCCACAACCAGCCAACCCAAATGATAACTTTTCACTGCTATATAAGTGCAAGTCAGAGTCCAATGTGAAGTCTTACAGATAAGATAAAAGGCTACGATATTTCCATTTGTGTTTTGAAGAAACTGAAAGATTTGAAGCATTGGAGGGAAAGATGATAAGCCTGACTGACAGTAAACATACAATTTCAATACTTTGGAAATAGCAAATGATTCTTTTTCTAAGAAGTTACAAATCTCTCCTAGCAGCTAGTTTATTTCATGCCTTACTTAATGAAGAAAATAGGGAGGAAAGGTCACATACTTATCTAAACCTATTGAATGCCAAACAAACAAAACACACACATATGATTTTAAAACATTTGAATGGTGCTCTTTCAATCCAGTTTTAAAATTGGGAATCTAAGGCCCTGAAATTAAATGACTTATTTAAGTAGTGAGTGTACAGTGAGATTTTATATTCTTGACTTTAGCTCTCATTGCTCTGTCTAATCCAAATGACTTGAAAAGTCTCTCAGGACTGCTGAAGCGTACAAGGACTAAATAAGTACAGAGGTGGCTTTCTTGAAACAGAACATGGATTACATACTCAGCTAATTCAGTTGGGAGAACATGAAACTAATCATGTCAGGGCTACCAAACCTGTTATTCTTGTGGTCAAGAAAGGAAAGATATGAATTAGATTGGAATATGAACTGGTAGGAAGAATACCTAGGCTCTGGTAATCAGCCTAAACTGTTAACATCCCCAATTAACTGTGGGACTTTGGACACCCTTTCAACATATCTGAACTCCAGTTTCCCCTTCTGTAAAATGAAAGAAATTCATACTTATTTAAAGTTCCTTCTAATACCCAAATTCTGTGATTTCATGTAAACCTTTTCAAGTCCAAAATTACATTTTTACATACATCTTTACAGATTTAAATTAACCTTGGGGGAAAGAAAATTTTTAATTGGTTGGCTTACTTTCTCATTACCAGAACATACAAGGAATTCCTACAGACTAGGAAATATTTTGTAACAAATCAACTTTCCCTGTATTGACATGATATAGGAAATTAATGACAACTTAGAGTAAAGAAAAGATCTGGAGAACTCAGGGACTATAGTATGATCCAAACTGACACAAGACAAGGTATCAAGAGAGCCTGGGACTTTGCTATTAACCTGGCTGAGGCCTTATGCAATATCTGAGCCTCTATCTAACCCCAGGTGCTCAAAATGAAAAGATGAATAGGTGGTCAAAATGAAAAGATGAATAAGACATAGTCCTGGGCCTCAAAGAGTTCCCAATCTGGTGAGGGAGATAACTGGGTAAACAAATAAGAAATTGCAATATAATTCATTAAGTGTTATGATAAATGGAATGAAAGTGTTAAGAGAAATTGAATCACTGGAACAGTGATTCTCAAACCTGGCTGTGCATAAGAATTTCTGGAGGAGCTTTTAAGAAATACAGATGCTCTTGCCCTATCCCTAAGAGATCTTGATTTAAATGATCTAAGGGAGGGGCCCAGTGAATTGGTATTTTTAAAAACTCCCAAAGAGATTCTAGTATAAGAATTAGGATTGAAAATCACTGGGATAGGAGAAGGGCACCAAACTCAGCCTTAAGGGCAAATGATAATGTGCAGACAAGGAGAGAAGAATCAACTTTGTGCAGAGGCGTGGAGATAATAGACCTCATGGTACATCAGGGGAATTGTAAATAGGTCTGTTGAGCTCAGTGTCGTATACCTGAGTGAAGGGAGATACAGTGAAAGAAGAGACTGGGGACATAGGCAGGAGACAGATCATTATGGTCTGTGAAGGAGTTTGGACTTTATACTAAAGTCAATGGAAAACCAGGAGGGAAGAGACATGATCTCATTTCTCTTTTAGAAAAGCACCTCTTTAGGTGGTATGGAAGATAGGGTTAGAGGGACTAGAAGTGAGGAAACCAATTAAGAGGCCGCGGTAATCTAGGCAGGAAAGGTGGCCTGAACTAAAACAGTGGTAGGTCAAAGATAGGAAGGTAGAAGGTATTCAAGGAAAAGATAAGTAGGAGACAGAATCATCAGGGCAGGTGGACAGGGTAGGTGAGAGAGTAAGAGAACTGTATAGCTTATAATTTTCCTTATTTTGTACCTACTTTTGCTTATATGCTAGTGATGGATCTGCCCAGAATGAAACATTTCAGAGGTGGAGGGGAACAGCCTTTTAGGCTCGTTAACAATATACAATGTGGTTTGAATCTACTCATTTCAAAATCAAGAGCTATCAAAATAATCAGAGACTGTTTTACAATCCCTAAATGACGAAATTCCTGACATACTTAAGGTCAAGCATCTAACCTGCATTTAAACCCAATTTGGTGGGGACATGGTAAACAGCACTAAAGCAAAGGTTTGAGAGATTTTAATTAATACAAATGGCTGTGCCTAGACTTTAAATCTGTCCAAAGCAAATGGAGTGAAAGCCTTCTAATCCTTCAGAGCTTCATCTGGCAGTGACCTCAGAAACAAGAGCCTCCCTCCTACATCATCAAAGTGACTTCCTTTAGTTCCTTGTTGTTCTGTGTATGTAGGTCTTTGATTCAAGAATTCTTTACAACATAGAGGAGGAAAAAAAACCAAAAAACAGCTAAAACATCAAGTGCCCTGGCACTCAACTCTGCAAATCCCCTAAAAATATTAAATTAGAATGTACTTTAAAAAATAAATTCCAGAGGCGCCTGGGTGGCTCAGTCGGTTAAGCATCTGCTCAGGTCATGATCCCAGGGTCCTGAGATGGAGTCCCGAATTGGGCTCCTTGCTCAGTGGGAAGCCTGCTTCTCCCTCTCCCTCTGCCTCTCCCCCCTGCTCATGCTCTCTCTCTCTCTCTTTCTCAAATAAATAAATAAAGTAAAATAAATCCAGGGGCACCTGGGTGGCTCAGTTGGTTGAGCAGCTGACTTTTGATTTTGGATCAGGTCATGATCTCAGGTCATGGGATCTAGCCCCATGTAGTGAGGAGTCTGTTTGGGATTCTCTCTCTCTCTCCCTCTCCTTCTGCCCCTCCCCCCCTTTCTCTGAAATAAATAAATCTTTAAATAAATTAAAAAATTCCAAAAATCTACACCCACTACCTATGTAAGCCTTTAAAATAATTTTGAAAATGAAAGTAATTCTTACCACATTAGATTCATTTTTGCTGGTAGTTGTTCTGCCTGTAGTTTAGTACTTATAGCACCTGGTGGGAAACATTAGGAAAATGAGAGCTTTCTTTGAGGAAAAAAACAAAACAAAACAAAACCTGGTTTAATTTTGAGTTGCAAAGCTACTAACATTCATCACACATTACATACCATATCATTGCATCACTGTGGGAATGACTCTGGTATTAGCATTAATGTGGATTTTCTAACTGTTGTTTTAGAAGATAACTTCAAGCGTATTTTTGAAGTTGGAATGGCAAAACTTTTTCAGCTAAGGGCTCATGTCTCACAGGTAGAAGAAAATCATTTGAGGATTATATGCAAGTAAAAACAATTTTCTTTGAGAACCTACAAAACTGTACTTTTAATACAACTTTTAAATGAAGAAATGGGATGATAAATCATATATATATATGTATATATACACATATATATCCTCAGATAACCCAGATATATATTCCATAAAAATGGCCAACTGTGGATAGTGGAGAACAACAACAATAAAAAAGATAAAGGTGGGTGTGGGGACAAAAAAGAGGAGGCAGAGAGAATGACAAGCATAGGCTGAGATAGAGAAGGAGAAGGGAGCCAATAAAAAGGGGAAAAAGGAAGAGTTGGAGGGTGCAAAACAGGCCCTGTAGGGAGTTTGTCCTAGGTCAGGATTGCCAGGATACCCAGTTAAATTTAGATTTCAATAAAAACCAAATAATTTTTAGTATAAGTATGTCCCATGAAATGTTTAGGACATACTTATACTAAAAAGTTAACTATCTGCAATTCAAATTTAACTGAGCATCCTCTTTCTATTTGCTAAATATGACAACCCAATCCTAACAATCCTGCCAAATTTCCTAAGTGTGTAATATAAAAAAAACTTTGGAAGCTATTGTCATTCATTGAAATAATCATAATATTAATAAAGGTACAGTTTATTTTTTTCAACCTTCAGAATTTATATTTAGGAAAGAAGAATTTTATCCTCCCCCTGGGCTTCTGTGGGTTTTTTTTTTCTAAAGATTTTATTTATTTATTTGTCTCAGAGAGAGAACACAAGCATGGGGAGCGGCAGGCAGAGGAAGAAACAGGCTCCCCGCAGAGCAGGGAGCCCAATGCGGGGCTTGATGCCAGGACCCTGGGATCATGACCTGAACTGAAGGCAGACGCTTAACCATCTGAGCCACCCAGGCATCCCTCTGTGGGGTTTTATAGGAAGTAAAAAAACGACTTAGTTTAGAAATTAACTTCATAACCTACTATTAGTTACTATAATAACTACTATATGGTACTACAAACCATAAACCTAACTTGGACATTCAAAAAGTTCAGGTTGCCTCAAAGCTTTAAAAAGCCTGTGTTTGAGAGCATTACTATTTATCAAGGACCCAGATTCAAGTTAACTGTGGGTTTCCACCCCTGCCTTTCAGCCTTTTAACTTAACACTACTATTTTCCTTTCAGCAGCACCTACTGAAGTGTATTTCAGCCGTCAGGAAGAGTCATACTAAAGTGAAGTAAAGGTTAAAGCCAGGAAGAATGACTTGCTTTGGGAAAGGAGGGAGTTAGAGAATAAATAAGGTCTCAAGAATATTCATTTCCCACCTCACCGGGCTTTCATCTGAATTTATAAGGGTAGCAAAATAATCACATCCAACCTTCAGCTTCTTCTCAAAAGAACTCAAAAAAATGCCAAGAAGATGAGTTTGGTGGGGGACGGGGAGGGGAGGAGAAAAACGAAGTGTCAGAATGAAATGTCTTATCGTCAGTTACATTATTACCCAAGATAAACTTCTTCTTTAAACTACCAGCAGGCATGATGGGAAATTCAGCTGAATTTAAAGATTACTTCTTGCCTGTACTCTTTAAGGTAGTTGGATGCCAAAGGCCACAAACTGTTCTCTTGACTCTACAGAAGCCAGGGAAGGGCTGTTACACAGCCTGGGTCAAATTGTAATTTTACACTGGTGGTAAAGTAAATCCCTTCACATGTGACCCATCCCCAGAAGGCACTCACTCGGTGTAAAATGTTTTTCTCTTCTATAAGACTAGGTGAGGCAGTATGCCAAACAGATTAGACTGACAATGGTAATGCTATAACCAGGGGCTCAAGTGAATTTGCAAGTAGGGATTGCTTAAAGTGTAACAAACTAATATTAACACAGGATTGTGTTTTGCCAATCAAATAGTTCACACTACTGCAACACAGCCAACCAGCACACAGGACAGTTGATGCGGGAGGAAGGATTCTTGGCAAAGAGCAGTGGGAGAAACCTTTCCTTTACTTGGAAATGTGCAGAACAGAAGGACCTGTACCTGGATTTGTGGGGAGGTATGTCCAAAACTACATTTCACCCTTTAAGACAGGTTTGTGAAATTCAATTCTTTTGAGACTAGAGGAAAATGAACCATATCTAGGAACATTATTAAGTTCTTAAATTTCAAAAAATCACCACCTTGTATAATTGTTCAACTCATTTTATAATTCAGTGTCCCGATTACCTGATTTATCTGTGGTGGAAAGAAATGGTATTAGGGATTGTGAAGGAAGTGGACGGTAGGATGTTTTTGGAATGGAGGGAACTGTAGTTCAAGGAGTAGAATAACAGGTAAGGATTGTACAGCAGAATACTGAGTTTAGTAAGGTCTAACCAAGGCTGCCAGTAATACACCTCAGTGCAACAGAGCATGGCAGAAAACATCAAAAAATTTTTTTCGTTTGATATATAAATGTAGCACATTTTGTCCTAAGGGTAATAGAAGACCAATCTCTCCCACAGTATATCAGGGTTCCTGAATTACCACTATTTGTAGAGTAGAAGCCTGGATGTGATTGGTGCCACCTATTGGGATAAATGCAGAATTACAAACTGTCAACCCATTTTGAACTGTTTTATTACTGACCAAATTACCCTTAGGAAGTATGAGTCCTCATTGGGAGTATTATACATTAAACAGTGATAAGTTTGGATTTAAATCATAGCCTTTAGAAGTGGAAGAGTCATGAGACATCCCATACTTCAACACTGCCATTTTCCGCACATTCTAGAAGGTGAGCTTTAGATACAGAATCAGAAGCCTGGCTTCTCTGAACTAGTTTCTTGTTTTATGATACCTACTCCACAGAGTCATCGTGAGCATTACACAAAACCACATGCTTTCAACATGCTCTATAATATGTTTGGATTGTTTTAGGCAAAGAAAAAAACTGAAACTAAATGACTTGCCCAGGTTATTTAACTGTTTAGCTTCAGAATAAGGCCTACAACTCATATATCTGACTCTAAATGCAGTGCTTTTGCCATTAAAATACTGTTTCCAAAAATTTGATGGCAAGATGATTTTGAGTGGCAACTGAGATAAATTTAGGAGGTGCTAGAACACAGCATTAAAACACTATGTAAATCACAGTGAAACAATTACTCCTTTTTCAATTCTTCAAATTTGATGGCCTCAAGGAGAAATTTTCAGTTTGTTGCTGGTTTTCTTTAAAACTCTCTACATCTTGCTAATCTCACTTCCTAATAAAGATAAAACAGACCTCAGGCTTTAGCATCTGGTTAGAAGATTAAAATTTTGTTTTTCAGTATCCTTATTAAGTTTACTTTCGATTATGGAAAGCTATATTGGTTTTTCATTGAAAACAGTAATATTAATTTTATTTTCCAGGGATGCATTTAAGAAATTAAAGAAGTCAATCTAAACAGAATATATTGAAAACAACAGACCAAGTGACACAGAAGTTGGGAAACATGAGCACCACTAAACCACCTCCCTATCATATCACTGTTGGTAATAGTATCTTAACATAATTACTTTAAAAATTCCTCTGTGAACAACAACAAAAAATTCCTCTGTGAAGAAAACTAATGCTTCTTTTGTTTTCTTTTCAATAATTAAACAAATAGGTCAAGATAACCAAAATCTAGGACTCAGATCCACTTAGGCTCAAACAAACCCAAAGATTTTGTATATGTGTGTGCTGGAAAATGAAACTGGCCTGTAATCAGTGTTCAGTGAATGCACAATCATAAAGCACGGGACCAGTGGGTCACACATGCCTGCGGCTACTTGCCTTGGTGGTAACTAGAAATTTAGTGCCCTATGATTAAACTCTCCAGAAGTATAAGAGGAGAGAAGAGAAAAGAGAGTACTGATGTGTGGGCTGTCCTAGTCCAAATTTCAAAGATCCCGTGTACTGGGAAAAAAGAAATCCCCTAAGGTGACTCAGTCGAATGGAACCCTTCACTATTTACTAATCTTGGCTTGATTTGAATCTGGAGCTAGAAGATTTTTAACTCCTTACTCTAAGATCCCTTGAGATGACCTTCAGCTAATTTTAAAAAAGTAAAACAAGGATCTGTCCTCCTTGTACCCTCCTCTCCTCCAGCTTTTTAAGTTATTCCTTAATGACTTATTATTGCTTCAGATTGTATTCTAGGTTCTTGTTTGAGAAGAAATTCTCAAGCTTTCTGCTGTCCAATTCTTATCAAACCAACAGTTAAAAGAAAAAATATAAGTGTGGGGGAGGGCGCCTGGCTGGCTCAGTCTATAGAGCATGTGACTCTTGATCTTGGGGTCGTAAGTTCAAGCCCCACATTGAGTGTAGAGATTACTTAAAAATAAAATCTTAAAAAAAAAAAAGAAAAAATATAAGCAGAGCACTGGCTAAAGGATGGATGGCCGATCCACCCTTCTAGATTTTGTAAATTTTATCTATGAGTCAAGTTAGTCCAGTGCTATGTACCTGGACCAAATCATCTTGAACTGACCCATTGCTTTTTAAAATTTCAAATTAATATTTTTTTATTAGATTGTGCCAACAAAAAGATAAGAAACAACCTAGAAAATTTAGATTCTGAATTTATTTTAGAAATATTATTGAGGACATTAGCTACTATAACACATACAGAATGTTCTGTCTCCATGGAGGAGAAATTCTCTCTGATCTCAGTACTAGTAAAAGCTATATTTCTTGAGCAATTGATTTATTATTATTTTGTGGACACCGTAAATCCATGTTTCTTTTTCTGGGAAATCCAGAACCAAGTTTGAAGCCTGCTTCTACCAACTATATAGTACTTTCATTATACATTTTCATATATCTACCTGGCTTCAACTTATTTTTCCTTTGGCTTGATTTACTCATCTATTTATTTAATCTTATGTGCTGTGTGTGATTTTATCTGCTGTTCAAGCCCTTTATGGAATAAGATTGAGAAGAAATTAGAGATATACAGGGGCACCTGGGTGGTTCAGTTGATTAAGCATCTGCCTCCAGCTCAGGTCATGATCCCAGGATCCTGGGATGGAGCCCTGCAATGTGCTCCCTGCTTAGCAGGGAATCTGCTTCTCCCCCTCCTCTCTACTCTTGCTCTCTCAAGCTCCGGAGCTCTCTCTCTCAAATGAATAAATTAAAATAAAATCTAAAAAAAAAAAGAATGAGAGATATACATACTGATACTGTTACTGATAAAATATTGTCATCCGCTAACCATGATTTCTCATTGAATGTGTTTTCTTTAAAATATAGATTTCAGATTCATAGATCCCTAAAAATTTAAGAACTCTTTCTTCTGTCCCTCAGAAGCCATTCCTTTATTTTTTTATGGTAAACTATACAATTTCCTCTAACGATGCCATAAATTCTTTGGGGGCAAATGCTGAAAATCTCGGAGGAATATCTGGACTGGTGAAACTCACAACCATTGTCAGAAGTCTATGTCTTTGGCCTTCTGTTCTGAAGTAGCAGAGTCTATTCCAACAAAATTCATGAGATCAAACTACAATAATTCCTAGGAAAGGGGTGCAAGTGGGGAGGAAACTAATATTTTTTCAGGGGTCAACTTTGTACCAACTATGTATACTAAGTACATAATATGTAACTTAGTCTTTACAAAAGAAGATTTCATTTCCTCCAGAGGAATACTTACTTTACAAGAGCTTCTGAGTAATAATAACGATAGTGATAAAATTTATTAGATCACTACTAACATTTAACTTACAGTGTGCCAGGCATTGTGTTGATCATAAGTAATGGAATTTTCACTGTAAAATAAAATAAAACCTCAAACTGTGCACCTATGATACTCCACCTACCTCGGGACCCAGGAAGATTAAAATATGCTTGCTTTGGTTCCAAATTCTGCTGTAAGTATAGGGATAATTTCAGGTCATTGGCCTTCTGGTAGTTCTTCAAGACTTCAATTCTCAGCTCAATCACTTTACCATTAAAGTCATTCTACAAGACAACATTTTCGCAACTACTCATACAGTACTGGCTTCTCTAAAGCACCTGTAACCTCATCCTTTTTACTCAGAAGTTTCAAATCATCCCATCATGTCCAGTCTTTGAAGCTGGGCAGAAAGTATTTGTGATTTCCCCCCATTTCAAATAGAATAAAACCAAGACTATAGGGGGAAAAATGTATTTAAGTTATTCAATGTGAAGCTGGAGACAGGTCTCTGCAGCTATCTCCCCATGAAACATTTTCTTTTAGCATAATAATTGGTAATCCAGATGCGGGAATTGGGATGAATATTATGAAACTAAAAGACGTTACATTGAATGAAATTGTATCCCATGTTCAACTTTGGAAGATCTTAGTACCTGAAGGATGTTGGCTTGTTCCTTGGACCTGACCCATTCCATTTTCCTCTGTTGCTTTTCCTGGTGGAAGAAAGAGCCTCTGGGTGACAAAGTAAATTGAGATCAGAAATCAGTGTTCTCAATATGCTGCAAAGACTTTATAGCAAAAGTACAGGGTCATAGATTCACTAATAAATTGGTTTCAACTCTTTAGTCCTTTTAGTAGGGCCTCACCTGTATAATCCATTGCTCCAAATACTAAAGGCTAAATTAATAGAATCATTTTCTCTGAAAAAGTTTGTTGTGGGAAGATTAGATTCTAGCATAATACTTCTAAATAAATGTTCAAAAACAAATTAGCTATTATTTTGACATCACATAGTTATTGTTGAGTTGTCATTGTTAGTGTAGTTTCTCCTACTTTGCCCCTGCTAATGTGATTTCCCAGAAATTTGCAGTGTCACTGTAACTCAAATATAATATCCCAAGGGAACCAGATTTCCTATAAAATTTGTATCAGTTCAGAAGCACACTGTAGTTTAGACAGATTACTGCTACATTAAAAATTTTAATCTATCAGCTCTAAAAGCTACTACCATTCAGAAAGATCACACTACCTTCCTTTTCTCCTTCACTTTCTCTGCACATGATGTCTCCAGTTCATTTTTGGTCTTCCTAGGTGATGAGGGGGTTTGGGGAACCTGGGATAAAAGAAGAGAGCTAAAGGAATAGAAGGTCCCAGAAAAGAAATACAATGTCTCAGCGGTCAGTAAATCCAACATAACCTAAAGGCCCAAATCCTAACTATCTGCCTACCCAAATTAGCCCTGATTGTCAACAGGCTGTTTCCAGCAATGTGGCATCAACAACCTTGAAATTCTAAGTGCTATAGAGTCCACTTGCCTTTCTGTCCTGCACGTCTGCTTTGTTTTTTATCTGCAGGGCTTTTTGTTGACCACCAAGTTCTTCTGTGTCGAATGTCTGTAGAGAGACATTTTGGCAAAGCTTTAAATTAGTGGGAATTAGTGAGGGAAGTGGAAAACCAACATAAGTCAAAGCTTTTGGTTTCTGCCAGTCAGCAACTTGTCAGGGTTTGACATGAACCGTGTACTACCAAATGGGGTTCAGAATGGAACAAGCCCTTCCATTTGGTCTTGAGTATACCTTATAATAATAAAACCTATTAACGTACACTTACTATATGCCATCGCTACTGTAAGCTACTTACACATTACTTATTTACAATACTTTATTACATTATAAACTTTCTCATTTAACCCTCATAGGAATATTTTTATTTCCATTTTATAAATGAGAAAAGAGATTTGGAGAGGCTAAGTCATTTGTTTAGAAGAATTTGAGCCAGACCTTGTGGACTCTGAAGCCTATGTTCTTAACCACTGGGCATGCCATTCTCTCTCCATTTCTCACTGTCTAAAATTATGAGTAGGGAAAGCCAATCACAAGCTAATAAATGTGGACATCACTTATAAAAAATCTTTTGGGAGCTTTGGAGAAGCTGGATTTTGATAGAGGAATTGTGTTGGCACATTTCCTAAATGTCACAAGGACTCAAAAACTCAAGAACTAAAACTGACAATTCATAGAACTGATTTGTAGCTGCCTCTGAGAAGTAGGACTACTAGATCTCAGGTCAAGATGCAGGGCTTGATGCTATCCTGATTATTTGTGGAAAGGCCAGATGAAAAAAACAGTCAGAGATCACACCATACACTGTTTATATCGCAAGACACAATCTGTTCTTCTAGTTTTATAGTCTGTGAAAAAGCACTCGGATCTCAAGGACTTAGTCCACAAAGGAATTTCCACCTCCCACATGGTTTCCCAGCAAAAGGCCCTATTATTGTGTTTTAAACAATGAAGTGATCGTTGCAAAATCATAGGAGAATTAGAATTATATATTCATACATTCATTCTTTCAACTTACATTTATTGATTGTCTACTATGTTCCAAGCATTGTGCTACATGCTAGGGATTCAGAGATGAACAAAGCAATCAAGAAACTGGAGGAGGCTGTATTCCAGAGGGGGTCAGGGAGACAAGAAACAAGTAAAATAATAATAATAAAAAAGTAAAAATAATAAGCTTAATTATAAAGAGTGCTATGGAGGATATGAACAGGGTTCTATAATAGAAAGTAGGAGAGGGGTGCCCTATTTTAGATGGAGTAAACAAGGAGGGCCTCCCTGAGGAGGTGACATTTAAGCAGAGATCTGAAGGATGAGAATGAGCCAACCAAAAGAAAATAGTATTACAGGCCAGGGATAAAACAGGAGCAAAAGCCTTGTAGGAAAGGTCTTGGCATGTTTGAGAATCCACAAGGAGGCCAGTGTGGTGGTTGCATAGAAAGTAAGAAGAGGACTTCTTTGAGAGGAGAGAGGTAGGCAACAGCCATATTTTGCCACAATAAGGAACAGCTATAAATGGTTTCCATAAGGAAAGTGACATGATTTGATTGTTTCAAAAATATCACTTTAGCTGCTGTGCAAAAAATGGATTGGAATGAGGCATGGGTGGAAGCAGGGACATGACAAATGAGAATGGGGACAAGAGGAAAGGGAAGTTCTTTTCATTAGGGTCTGTAAGATAATACTATCAAGAGATCCTTAGAGGCACACCTTGTTCCATAGCATCTCCATTTCCTTCCGAAGCATCTTGTTTTTCCTTTCCTGTTGGAGGGGGAAAAAGCCAAACAAACAGAAACGTGTTTGTCCAGTCATTAAAGTGAAGTTGGAAGAAATTATTAAGTGATGAGGGGAAAGGGGTGGGGATGCAGGTATACAGAAAACCATAGAGGAAGGCAATAAATAAGTCTAGCCCAAAATCCAGGAACATGAGAGATGAGTTTGACGATGATGATAGTACAAAAATAATAACAATTTTGAATAATAACTATAATTATGGTAATTGTAATATGATATCAACAGAAATGAGTTCTTCACGCAATACTTAAGATGTTCTGATCATACGGCAATTTCTCTGGGGTGCAGACCACTAATTTCTAATTTTTAAGATCCTTTACATTGTCGCTTTTTAAAAATCTTATGAATCTCCCAGAACAAACCATTTCTTTTATTTTACTTTGGTATTTTCTATTCTTTATGAAATATGAAGGGTTAATATGCTTGTATTACTAACCCCTAGATGAAAAGTTTTTAAAAGCCAAAGAAATAGAATTTTTGCTAGTTAGTCCTGAGTCTGCCCAACATTTCATCTGACTCCTTTTTAGATCAAGGAGATATGAGTATCAGAACCTTAGATGCTAGAGATGAGCTCTCTGTCTTTCCTTCCACATTTGATGATAGCAATTGAATTGAGCCTTGTACAGGAGGCCATTCCTTGGAGTGTCCACCAATCTCTTACCAGATTCTGCTTCATCTCTTCTGCTTCCTTAATGAGCTCCATGACTGAGGATTCTTCATTCCCCTTCCCTGCCATGATCTGCCTCATGATCTGCAAACTGGAAGGAAGAGAAAGACATCACAAAACATAATACTTCCTAAAGAGTAATATTACTATTCTGTAAGCAGTCAGAAAGTACACTACCATGGGAATGAGATGGGTGTTAAAATCACAGGAGTTTTGGAATTCCTTCTGGACATAGAAGATCTCTATAGGATGATTTCATCCCCAATCAACATTTGCCTCAGCTATGTCCTTTATAATGAATTCTGTGTTAAATAATGCTCAAAACTTAGTCTCCAGCAGCCAGTGAGGCTCTTCTTCACCCTTTCAGAAAAATGTTTTGGTGTATGGCTTTTGAAATAGAAAGGATGATTTTGCCCCGTGAAGAAGGAGGTCAAAGAATCTGTTGTCTTCAGCATAAATCCCAGAATTATGCCCTACCTCATCTCTGTTTATATTGCTTCTTTATAAAAAAGACATTTGAGTTAGTTGGGGAAACCCCTTATATCCTTATGGTAGTTCCCAACATACAATCCAAGGCATCAAGAAGTTTCTAATAAAATCTGAATCAACACCAAGTCAAAGACTTACTTTATTCTTTAAAGGCATTAACTTATGTTTATGATATTATACTTTTTCCTCCTTAATTATAAGCAGAGAAGGAAACTTTGCGTTCTTTTACCCTAAGAGAAGTTTGTTTCTGCATTGTAAGCAGCTGGTGCTTGACCACAACTTTTTGCCTGGCTTTTGTTCTCCAAAAGTCTGAGCTCCCTGAGATGGTTACAGTAAGGGTAGAGAATGAAGGTAGACTCATTAAGGTGAGATTATCTGAGACTAGAAAGGAAACAGAGTTGGTGGGTCTCAAGAACAGTGAGTGCCCTAGGTAAGAGTTGAGATTTTTATCTGCCTAGTATATTTAGAGAAGCCAGACCCTAAATCCAGAGGACTCCTAGGCCTAGAAGATTTTTTCTATTTCACTGCTTGGCATGAGAAGAACAGAGTCATCTATCCTAAAGTGATTCCACAAACATGAATAAGGAGCTATCAGTGTAACCATGATAGACTGAAATACTAAAGGCTCTTTTAAGTTTCTTAGGTGGACATCTTAGGGAAGAAGAGTAGTAACTGTAGCCCCTTGATATGAGGGCTGAATCACATTTAATTTTACTAAAAACAAAGGATTACTTGCCACTGATTTTGTGGTTACAAATTCTTTATCTACTATGGCTAAATGTCTAAATCTTTTTAAAAATGTAAATAATCATTGTTAATCCTCTGGATTAAAGTTCTCCAGCCTTTTCCCCTCTAGGAAACCCTGAGTAGAGAGGCTTTACCTTCTTTGTTTTTCCTCTAAGTTAGACATCAACTTCTGGAATAAGAGATTGTTCTTATCTTCAAGAGGTTTTAGCATCTCTAGCAGTTCCTGCTTCCTTAGCTTTAAGTCCTCATTCAATTCCTTCAAGTAGTTGTCATCTATTTTGGAACATCTGTGGGAAAAATAATATTTACCTTTAGCCTAAGTTAATAATAGAGACCCTACTTTTCCCTCTAGATAGTTACCACTTGGCATCTTCTGTCCATGACTCACCTTGTTTTTGAGGGCAAGTAAGATCCTGAAGGGTTTGAACTGCTTGTCATCTTGAAGGGAAATTTCTACTCTAAGGATAGAGAGGTCTTCTTGGAAGTACGTGCCTTCTTGTTCCATTCAGTTAAGTCATCATTTTTCTGTTGCTGTTCTTGAAACTCCTGTTGCATTGGATTGATTTTAGCTACAGCTTGAGTCACAATGGCCCTAAGACCACAGAATCAACAGGTCTTTTAAATATCTTCAACATCAATGACAGCTTGATGAATGAAAATACTATTAGATACATCTGATTAATTCTTCCTTAGCTTTAACCAATGCCCAATATTTTATTCTGGAGTCTTTGAATGGGATAGAATCAGAACGTATCTATATTATGGAATTCCTAGAAAATGGTGGCTGGTCAAAATTAATTCATGAACACCGTCTTCCATGGCAATTAACCTACATGAAATGTCTACTACCTGTAGGGCACAGTGCCAGATTCTGTAAGGAAAAGATAAATAAAGCATCTACCTTCTGAGGGTCTTAGGAGGAGGAGAGAAAACCTCTAAGAGACATTTTTGAAAAACAGAGGCCAAACTGGCAAATATAAGGAATGGGTATAATATTGAGTAATGAGCCAATTGTCATTATTTTCCTGTCTTTAAAACTTGATATATTACAGTGGCAAGGAAGAATAATATTGGGCACATAGCGAGAGAATATAATTTGTGAAAAATCCATACTATCAAGTATGTCCTTCCACAGCCAGGCTTTTTCCTGAGAGGCTGTAATTCTACACTTACCTCCAGATTCTGATTCTGCCCCCATTCTTCTCTCCTTGCTAGAACTACATTTCTCCTAGACCCTAAGATCTTCTGTCTTCACCTATATAACTTAGTGAGCAGAAAATAACTCAAAGAGTTACACATTTGTTTCTTCATGCCCTTTAAAAACAGTTTTAGGGCAGTATTTTTAGTGAGGCTCTCAAATGTGAATTAAGTCATGTCAATTTCAAGTATTAACTGGGCATTTCTAGGCATCTTCTAAGGGCATCCTCCAAAGAAACTTAACCTCTTCCTGTTTTGGGAAACCTTAAAGGCCGACTATTGTAGTGGAAATAACACAAGATTTAGTTTGTCAGATCTTGGTTTGAATCTTGGCTTCAATGTGAGAAGGGAGCTGGCTGTGAGCAAGTTACCAAATTCTCTGAGCCTTAGGTCCCACTTTTGTAAAAATGAGAATGGTAAATAAAAAGATTGGAATGAGAATTAAATGTAATATTTAATGAAGATCCTGTCTCATGTCAGGGGGTCACTTTTTAGTGTGGTTTCAGTTGGTTTGGGTTTGGGGATTTTATAATGCCCTAAGTAATACAAAATACAAAAAAGCTGATTTATATGAGGCTAACGAAGCTTAAACTTCAGGGCACTTCATCTTTACAGACCTCTCTCAAAGGCCATGTACCTCATTTTATATCCACAATTTTGCATTCTTATTTAGAAGGAGAGAATTCCCCAAATTATATACACTTCAGGGTCCCAAAAACGCCTTGGATCTGCCCCTGGTTGGATCTGATACATATCTCCTATAGCAGAACTTCTCTTTAGGCAGTCTCAACAAATACTTTTTCTAAAGCAAGTATGTGTCACTTGTAAGTTATGTATGATAGCTAGTGTAACATGACATTAAATTAGAACAGCCATATCAGCTGAAGCACAATGTAATTCACACTGGTTGTCCTGGGAGTTTCCATGAAAAGTTTGGATTGAACGAGGGTGAGCAATCTCCACACAGTTAAAAGAAGGAACTAAGTGGACTAATTATAATTAGTTTGGGGACACCTGGGTGGCTCAGTCAGTTAAGAGTCTGCCTTCAGCTCAGGTCATGATTCCAGGGTCCTGGGATTGAGTCCCGCATTGGGCTCCCTGCTCACCGGGGAGCCTGCTTCTCCCTCTGCCTGCCACTCCCCACCACTTGTGCTCTCTCTCTGACAAATAAATAAATAAAATCTTAAAAATATTATTATTATAATTAGTTTTTTAGACTGTAGATATAGGTGGTAGCAAATAGAGAACAAAAATGGCATTGATACTAAAGCATGGCCTCTTTAAATTTCAGTCTTGACATTTGGTTGGCAGAATAATGTTAGAATTTTAAAACACTTGGTGAGCACACAGCATGCCAACTCACCTTCCTTTGTGTCCTTGCTTGCAAATGATTGTACGGAGAAGAACATTTGCTATTCTGATGTGCTCTTTTCTGTAGCCAATCAGCACCTTTCTTTCCCTAACATTCCAATGCCTGTTTCTTCAGCTTGGAATATGACTTTCAAGAAGAGTATTTGTCTTGTAATAATGTATACAGGCTTTATAATAAAGAACTTAAAATCAAAAACTAGTATTGAATAGGGATAATTGATAGACTACATTATTTCTGGGACAGAGGTAGGGAGGGTGAAGGTATAGATGACCATCCAAAGTGGAAAGTTGGGGGGCACCTGGGTGGCTCAGTCGGTCAAGTGTCCACCTTAAACTCAGGTCATGATCCCAGGATCCTGGGATAGAGCCCCATGTGGGGCCTACTGCTCTGCCTGTTTGTGGGTGTGCGCTCTCTCTCTCCCTGTCAAATAAATAAAATCTTTATTAAAAAAAAAAGAAGTGGAAAGGAGGCAAGTTGAACACTGATTTTTCCTGCAGTAGAAAGTTAGGTCATCTGTTGATTGAGGAAACATGGTGGAAAACTTGGGAAGAGCAATGACTTGAGGTTTGGAATAGCACCTGAGCAGCGAAAAAGAAAGCCAACCAGGCAAGAGTAAAAGGATCGCCAAGTAGTGCTAAAGGTCAAGGTGAGTTTTGGAGTTGCAGATTTGTCATGGCATGAATCAGCAGTTATACAATTTCTCCAGCAGTCCTTGGCAAGCTAGAAGCAATAGTAGGGAGAACGGATGGTTGTTTGACTCTGAGCTGCGACTTGGCAGAATGGATAAGCAAAAGTTCAAGGAGTAAGGGGGCTGAGCATGCTGGTAAGAGGATCCATCAAGGAGAGGGTGGATCATGGCGTTCCAGCTATGCAGGGAGGAAAATGAAGAGCTGGTGGCTAAGAGGGGAAACCAGGAAGGGGTTGAATTTAAGGAGTCTAAGGTAGAAGAACAGGAGGTTATGGTCAGCGAACATACTTCTTACGAAATAGCTTGTGGAAACTCACCAATGTTTAGATCAATTGTAGTAGCAAATCATAAGGTTTTTTTTTTCTGCAGTAAACATGGTTTCTTTGTCACTGCATAATATCCACTGAAATTCATATAGCCCTTATAACAAGCCATTCACGATGACCTCATCCAACATTATAGCATTTGATTTTAGTATCTGTTAAGAAAAAGCGTGATTGCTCTATAATTAGAGAACTCAGAACAGTAGCATTTTAGTATTGTTTTACCAGTAAAAAAATCAGATTAGTCTAATTAAGCCAGGTCTCCAAGAGTAGAGGCAATTATTTTCATATTAAGGGCAAAAAAATGAGAGAGAGAGAAAGAAGCTTTCCTATCCTCCCCTCCCTCAGTTTTGGTTGTGGCAACAAAATTACAGAATTTTGTAATTTTGTTTCTTCAACTTGGAATATGACTTTCAAGAAGAGTATTTGTCTTGTAATAATGTATACAGGCTTTATAATAAAGAACTTAAAATCAAAAACTAGTATTGAATAGGGATAACTGATAGACTACATTATCTCTGGGACAGAGGTAGGGAGGGTGAAGTTACCTCACCTTCTGGGAGGACCTTCTGGGCCTTTCTGACCCAGAGGCAGCTCAACCCTTAAAGACATTATGCGAATTCCATTAACTAAAATAAGGAAAGAAGTGCTGGCAAAATCATAAGCAAAACTCATAGGCTTTTAAAGATCACCCACATCTCCCTGTGCTGGCTGTTAGAACCGCTTTGTTGTCTGTTTTACCTCTCGATAGCTGTCCCAAGCTAGGCTGTATCTACATTTGGAGTGAATCCTGGTAGTTAGGAAGATTGAGATACATTTCAGGACTCTTGAATTCCCTGTGTTATTGTTGAGGTCTTCTTGAAAGTGATGCATTATCTCGGTGTGTCCAGATACTTAGTACAACGGTCTACAAACTGAGGTATATGAACTTTCACAAAAGCATTTCAAGAAATGAGGAAACGAGGGTGGTTTTCAATGAGTCTTTTGCTGGATCCTCAGTTTCCACAAGTACTCTTTACTAAAATGGATCTGCCTGCAAATACCCCTTGGCCACCTTCCCCATCTCCTTTTTCTTAATCACATTTTTCCCTCTTGTTAAGATGGAATACCTTTCAACCATCTGAAATCTTACTTGGGCGACTTGAAGTAAGAGAAACAATCTTACTTCAGTGATTTGCTCTGGGGATGTGTTTTAAAAACCTCTAGGGCATTAAACTAACCACAATTCAAAACGTTGGTGTTGGGGTTAAGAGAGAGAATGATTATTAATGACTGGATTACAAATTATTTTGCAGGTCAGGTGGTTTCCATTTCTTTGCTTTCAACAAAATGGAAGGATGACCTAATCAAATTGTCAGCTTAAATTTATTACAAATGAGATTTGATGATAAATTACTATATAGGTTTAGCTTATAATTCAGAAAGAGTTCAAAGATTTCAGTGACACTGCTATAACGAACACCTTCCATTCCTATCTACTTTTTTGTGTAAACAAATTTTCTCAGTGAGTAATGTATGCAAAGCAAATAGTATAAATAAAATTGATGCTGAAGCCTGTATTATTCTAGTGGTAATATTCACCTATAAATATGTGAACTACATGGGGGGAGGGGACAGTCTACCCATCAATTAATATGAGCATTTCCAAAATAACTTGTTATACTTAAAATTATTTACGAAAAAAATATTTTTTCTTAGTTGTGCACTGCTAATAATTATAATGCTAATGCAATTCTGAAAAAATCTTAAGGTTACAGGAAATAAAAAATAAAATTTCAATGTTACATACATATTTTGCAGAGAAGTATGATAAAGTGGTAAAAAAAAAAAGTCTTTGGGGGGCGCCTGGGTGGCTCAG